AAGATACTTGAAAAGATCTTTTTAGGATTTTTCTCAGTTTCATAGGCTATCTAACAGAGATTGCGGTCAGTAACATCATCGAGCAATCCAACAATAATGAGCAAACAGAACTGGTATACTGTTACATAGTAACAAAGCATAACTAAAATTTTTTGGAAAAAAAAGTTATTTCTTATTTTTTTGTTATTAATAACAATAACAATAAATTCACACCCCTAATATATCTCTTCTTTTAATAACTCATGCAGCAAAATAAAGACACCTTTTTTTTTCGAATAACAAGTTTTTTATCTTAAGTTGATATCAGGTAACAACAATTACTTTTCATCTTCTATCTTTCTTCATGATTACATTTACTATTAACATTCACCAACATACAGTCATCTATGAATATCTTAAAACAAAAAAATAATTTTTGTATAACATGTGGCACAACAGCAGGTATGTTTACATGTCGTGGTTGTTCAAAAAGTTTTTGTTTAACTCATACAAATCAACATCGAGAAATAGTTGAAAAACAAATGAATGAAATAATTCTTAATCATAATTATTTAAAACAACAAATAATTAATGAAGAACCAAATCAATATCATCAAATATTAATAGAACAAATTGATCAATGGGAAAAAGAATCAATTAATAAAATTCATCATACAGCTAATGAAATTCGTCAACAATTAATAAATAAAACTCGTGAATATCATGATAATCTAAAAGAAAAATTAACACCACTTACACAAGAAATAACTAAAGCTCGACATGATGGAAATTTTTTTGAAAATGATTTACAACAATGGGCATATACAATAAAAAATTTACAATATTCATTTCTTCAACAAGAAAATATTCAAATATCTATAGATAATAATACAAATTCATTTATTTCAAAAATTTCACTTACTAATAAACTAAATAATAGTATGATATCATTAATAAATAATAATCAAATTGAAAATTCTAGAAATTTTAATTTAACAAAAGAATATTCATCAGGTGATCATTTACTTCGTTTTCAACTTGAACTTTATGAAACAAGTGATTCCGTTATAATGGGAATAATATCTACAAGTAAAT